GAGCAGTCGCAGTGCCAGGACTTCCATTGTTCATCCAAAAATAAGCCCTCCCTTTAGCCTCCTTTAATGAAACCGCTCTACGGGAGCCGGGCAAATAACTCTATTCCGACAATTAGAGTACAAAAACAAAAAACAAAAAAAGGGGACGACAAAAGTCTCCAGCCGTGCGGGAACCATCTGACAGGTTGGAAGGAGGAAGGGCGCGCGGATGGGCTGGGCCTCTCCCAACACCGTGCCTCCCGCTTGTCAGAGCATCCACAGATGGAGTCAACAAAGCCCCCGTCCCTCTTCCTCCGGCTCCGAAGGGAAGGAAGGAGAAGCTCGGCGAACGTTGTTCCTGGGCTCCGGCAGAAAGGCTTCCAAGCCCCATCCCTGACGGCGCGCACACACGGGGCCTGGCTCGCTGCCCGCTGGCGCCACGTAGGCTAATGAGCCTGCCTTCACATTTCCCCCAGCCTTGGCTGAGGCTTTGTGGCTTCGTTAGCAGAGAGAGTGCGCGAGGGTTTCCAGGCGCCGATGCCCAAGGAAAAGAGAGACGTGCATTTCGAGTTCTTTCCCAAGATCTTCCCAACCGGCCCGTCTCCTATGCACCTCTGTAGGGTTTGCCAATTGCACCGTGGCAGATAGGATGTCACTCCAGAGGGTGAAGGTCATTGCCCCTCAGAGGATCCTGGGTTGCCCTCTCCCTTCTTTGGAAGAGCTTTATGGCTCCCGCTGCCTTAAGAAAGTTGAAAACATCCGCAAAGATCCATCTCATCCTGGGAACCCTTTTTTTGAACTATTACCATCTGGCAGACGGTACAGGATAATAAAAACAAGTAGAAATAGGCTGAAAACAGCTTCTATCCCAGGGCAGTAACTCTATGGGATTCTGCTGTATAGTGCAACTAGCTCGATACCCATGCTTCCCTATGAAACTATGTGGTCCGGCTTACTTTTTGAGGACGAAAATAAGGGGGGGGGGAATTGTGCCTCTGCCTACCAGCATCCATCAGTATTCATCTGGCCAGCGTCCTGTCAGTGTGTGAGAGAGTTGAGGGCTGTTTGGAAACTAAAACAGTATTTGCTGTGTGAGCAAGGAGACAGCAAGGAACCTGGGCGTGGCTTAGCTCAACTGCAGTCGGAACATATTTCTTTTCAGGTGGGGAGGGGGAGTAGAACTCCTTAGCATCAGAGCGTGTTAATAATAATAATATAGGAAATACTAATAGCTCTGATGGTCATTTTGAAAAATCCTTTCTTAGTGAGCACCTAGAAGCCAAGAGGAAGATACGTGGCAAATTTCAAGTTTGTAGGCTTGATGGTTCTGGAGGTTTTGTGATAGACGGACGGACGAACGGACAGAAAGAATGAATCAGGGGTTTTCGATTCAATTGTATAGAATGTGAAGGATGTGTGTTTGTGTTTTATTTTTATAGTTTTATAATGTACACTGAAGATGGCATTTAATGTTGTTGCACGAGGTGCAATGACAATATTAAATAAAATCTAAAAAAAAAAAGTTAAATAAATCTCTCCTGGTGCTGGTTTGGTGGTGGCTCCAGGCTGTTCCTTTCTCCAGCAGATACAGAATTGGCCGGAGAAGAGGAAGGAATGGAGAACTCTGAATTTCTTGGAGAGGGGGAAAATTGGTTAGCGCCAACACTGGGCGGCGGGGTTGGACTAGATGACCTCTACAAGGTCCCTTCCAACTCTGCTATCTGTTAGTAGGCAGTCTCATGTAAGTTCCAGATTCCTGCATGGACTTCTTGGAGGAGGTTTATTTCCACGGCTGGATTCAAATGGGGGAGGGTCCCCATTGCCATTCTGCCACGAAGCTAAGCACGTGGGTCTCCCTTTGTGGTCGAGGACTACCCATAGGGAGTTTCCTGCCTGAGCAGGGGGGGTTGCCCTAGAAGACCTCCAAGGTCCCTTCCAATGCTGTTATCCTGCTCTGTCTGAGAGACTAAGCAAAGGAAGGTGAGCTGCATCTACCCTTCTCAATGAATCCACATTTCTGCCAAGGGAAGTTAGGAAGACAACGGGAAAACTAACTAAAACATGACTGGCAGAGCTAAGGATAGGAAGGCAATTAATCTGTTCAACCTGGAACCTGTTCAGGAAGTGAGGTTTTCCATGCCAGGCTCATTTTAGTGACTGTCAGTGAGAAAGGCGGCGGCGGCATCCCAAGGATCTTGCTGGGACATGCACCAACTGCGTCCACCACCGGATGCGATTTTATTTTATTTTTTTTAAAAAAGGAAGAGGGCAGGAGACCGATGAGCTCGGTGGAAGGGAAACAGCAGCCAATCAATTACCTAATGCACAAAGGACTAGATTAGCAGAGTTGGATGGCACCTTGTAGGTCATCTAGTCCAGCGGTCGCCAACCAGTGGGCCGTGGCCGGCAACCTTGCCTGGTAAATTGCTATTTTTCCTTTATCCGACCATCAGCTGTTCTGCTGTGCCAGGAGATTTAGATTAGCTAGAAAGCAGGAAATGGTTGGATTTCTTGCTTTTAGGCACAGCCGAACCTCCCTTAGGACTGAAGGTCCTATGACTCAGCGCAGACTCTCGGCAAGCAAATTTGAGAGACTGAGCTAGCCGACGTGCAGATAGATAAGATCACTGAATGAATCTGTGATTCTGTGAGCAACTCAATCTGCCTGCCTGCTTTGCCTGATTTTGGGTAAAAGTTGCTCTCTTTTTTTTTTTTTTTTTTTTGATAAAAAAATCCAATATTTATATAAATATTTACATACAAGCCATGCCCGGCCAGTCACATGACCACCAAGCCACACCCACAAATTAGGCCACACCCACAGAACCGGTTAGTGCTCCCTGGGATTTAAAATTATGAGTTTGGTGGTCCCTGAGGTCCAAAAGGTTGGCGACCCCGGTCTAGTCCAAGCCTCTGCCCAAGCAGGAGACCCTACCCCATTTCTGACAGAGGGCAGTCCAGTCTCTTCTTGAAAGCCTTGGAACTGGGCCTGGCTAGTCTAGGGAAGAGAAGGACCAGGGGAGACAGGAGAGCAGCCTTCCAATATTTGAGGGGCTGCCCCAGAGGGGAGGAAGGAGGGGTCAAGCTATTTTCCAAGGCACCCAAAGGCCAGACAAGGAATAATGGATGGGAACTGAACAAGGAGAGATTCAACCTGGAAATAAGGAGGAATTTTCAGAAAGGGAGAGCAATCAACCCAAGGGAAGAGAAGTTGTTTTCAGACGTTGTGGGAGCTTCATCCCTGGAGGCTTTCAAGAAGAACCTGGACTGCCCTTGGTCAGAAATGAACCTCCCGCTTAGGCAGGGGGTTGGACTTGATGACCTACAAGGTCCCTTCCAACTCTGATTATCTGTTGCCTGTTATCATCCTGCCTTTGGCCCCGAGACGCCTGCCCCAAATTTAAAACATGCCCCGACAACGTTAGCCCAACCACCCTGGCTTAGATGTACCTTCTGACTTTATTTCCAGCTACCAGCATGTTGGGGGGGCTCTCCTGGAGGTTGAGGCACGTGAAGTCACCCAAAGGACCTCCGAGTTGCGTTACACACTGCCCCGTTTCCACGTTGTAGAGGAGGATCTGGAGAAGGGACACAGGGAGGGAAAGGGGGGGTCAGCTGAGGACTTGGGATTGTCTGCAGCTTGGATTTCACTTCTTTGGCTCGGTCTTCGGTTTTAGCAATTTATCTCCTGGGCAGAACATTCATTTGATTAAAATAAAATAAAACAAAACAGCCGGGTGAATCATCAAAATAGAATCATCATTCTCTTTTAATGATCCCCCATAATCCCTTGCGGGGTGGAGTCGGGGCAACTGAATGGAGCGGAGTGTTTGAATGGCCCGATGCCCTTCCTGTCGCCAGTGTGGAGTTTTGTTCGGCAGATACATTCTCATGGTGCCCGGGATCGAACTCACAGCCTCCTGATTGTGAGGGGAGAGCTCCCCCTCTAGGCCACCGTATCATAAAAGGAGAATGAGAAGGATAAAAGAAAGAGGTAACAATAGCAGCCTCAAAACATGGCTTTCATCCAAGGCAACAAAGCTTGGATAAAAGTTTTGAGGAATGTCCACCTGGAAGTCTATTGCTTTTGGGTTAAGAGTGTCATTTCCCAGGTGGGTTGGTCATGCTAGTTGGAAGCTCTGGACAGCGTATGTATACAGTGATACGTTGATAAAAAAAAAAGCATTGGCCTTCTAATGCAATGTTTCTCAACCGTGGCAACGACCTGTGGACTTCAGCTCCCAGAATCCCTTGGCAAGCTGAGGAATGGGGAATTCTGGGAGTTGAAGTCCACAGGTCGTTGCCACAGTTGAGAAATACTATTGTAAGGTCACTGGGTTGAGCCTCCACTGGCCACCTGGTCTTTGTGGCATGCACGCCTGCAAGAAGACCGGCTGGCTGGCGCGCATGCGCACACCGGAAACCAGAAGCTAAGCTTCCTGGCTCACGCATGCACGCCAGGGAGCTGCTCTTCCGGTTTCCGGCACTCCTGCGCGTGCACACACCCGAACCCAGAAGAGCAATGGGCGACGGCCGGCGTGCCCGGAGAAGTGGCTTTGCATGCCACAGGTTCACCATCACGGCTCTGGACTATGTCCTTTGGCCAGGGACCGTCTCTGTCCAACAGATATGCCCAACGAAGCCAACCTTTCTAAACCCGACAACTTCCAAAGCTCTCAAAATCAAAAATGTCTGGATTCCAGTTGACCCCCATTCTGCTTTGCACTGAATAATTCAACATGTCCCCGAATGACTTAAGTCAGCCTTCCCCATGACGCTGAGTTAAAGACCTCGGAGATAAAGACCTCGGAGATAAGGGGGAGGGTGGGGGGGAAGACAACACAACGGCCTCCATTTCGTGGCCGATTCTTCCCATGTTACAAATCCCTCAACGGCCTTTACTTGTCTCACCCCCCCCCCTCACCCCGCTTTCTCTTTTAATAAGGCTGAGCAATCGAGACTTCATTGGGCTACAGGAGAGCAGAATCAATTATTCATGGCTTGGCTTTCTCTAGCATTTGGGCCATGCATTAGCCTAATGCCACCTCTTCGCCAGGATGAAATTATTATTTTTATTAATGCAATACCAGGGGATTCAATTCAACTGCATAGAATGCGAAGGATGTGTGCTTGTGTTTTGTTTTTACAGTTATAATGTACCCTGAAGGGGGCATTTAATTTCATTCTATGGGGTGCGATGACAATAAAGTAAACTAAAAAAAACTAAAAGTTGGTCACTGGGAGGCTTTAGCCTTGGGCAGAAAGGCAGGGAAGGGCAGATACATGGGTGCAGGGATAAAAAACAATTGGGTTATTACTTTGTAAATGGAGTTTTTCTTGCAGCCACATCGGCCCCGACGCAAAGATTTGGAAACTGAACGTCCCCTGCTGCCCAAATCTGCCATTCCAAATCAAGCGAAATCTTTTTCTGAAGTTGCCTTCAGAAGCTGTGGGAGCTTCATCACTTGGAGGCTTTCAAGAGACTGGACTGCAATTTGTCAGAAACGGTGTAGGGTCTCTCATGCTTGGCCCGTGGGTTGGACTAGATGACCTACAAGGTCCCTTCCAACTCTGTTAACCTGTTAAACTTTGCTTGCCGGAAGCCGGATGGGAAGGTCACAAATGCAGATCCCGTGATCCAGGGACCCTTGTAAATACATGCCGGCTGATAAGTGCCCGAATTCTGATCACGGGACGCTGCTACAGTCGTTAAGTGTGAGGACGGATGGCGAGTCACTTTTTTCAGCTCCAGTGTGACTTTGAACAGTCTCTAAACAAAAGGTTGTAAGTTCAGGACTGCCATATCGATAACACCCCAGCAAAAAGCAGACTCGCTGGAATAATAAATCTACTAAATGAGCTGAAATTTGAAAAAACCAATTAGAGAGGAAGGAAGGGACAAGCGGAGGAGAGAGCGAGAAGGCACAGTTAGGTGAAAAATGAGGAATGAGAGAGAGAGAGAGGGAGAGGGAGAGAGAAAGTGTGGATTAAAAAACAAAACGGGCGGGAAGGAGAACAAAACAGTTAATATGCATGAATAATGGATGCTTGATTTAAAAGCCGTTTGCTCCGATATGATGTAATTTTTTGACAACTAGCCAGCCAGTCTGTCTTGCAATTCCTTGCCACAGAAAACTCAGCCTGGAGAGGGGGGAGAGAACAGCCCCCCACCCCATATTTTATGCTATTCCAAAGGTGATTTTCCCACTGGCAGGTGTGGGTGGGCAAACGCGCCCTCCACTGCTTTGCATTCAAGGAGTGGGTTGTTTCTACATCAGCGGCCCATAACCCTTTGGGTGCCAGGGACCCAAAAGGGGAGAGGTGTTTTCCATGGACCGGAGGGTAGGGAGAAGCTTGGTTTCATGGCTTCGCTCGATTGCGCTGAACGCGGATTATAGAAGGAACAGATCAGACATCCAGCCCTTGCTTATCCATGGAGACCGAGTGGAGCAAGTGGCCAGTTTTAAGCTTCTGGGTGTTACCCTAAAAGAGGACCTGACCTGGGGGGCTCACATTGCAGCCCTGGTCAAAAGGGCCCAGCAGAGATTAGACTACCTGAGGCTTCTCAGAAAACAACTGAATGAAAACCGCTGGTGACCTTCAACCGCTGCACCATAGAGAGCATTTTAACCTACTGCACCTCTGTATGGTCTGCCAATTGCACAGGGGCAGATAGGAAAGCACTCCAGAGGGTTAAGGTCATTGCCCCTCAGAGGATCATGGGTTGCCCTCTCCCCTCTTTGGAAGAGCTTTATGGCTCCCGCTGCCTTAAGAAAGTTCAAAACATTCTCAAAGATCCATCTCATCCTGGGCACCCCCCTTTTTTTTAACTATTACCATCTGGCAGACAGTACAGGGTAATAAAAACAAGGACAAATAGGCTGAAAAACAGCTTCTATCCCAGGGCAGGAGCTCTTTTGAATTCTGCTGTATAGTGCAGTGTTGGTGTGGTGTCGGGGGCTTTTGGTTCAAAGTGTGGAATGTGAAGGATGTGTGTTTGTGTTTATTTTCATGGTCATGATGTGCACTGAAGATGGTGTTTGATTTGGCTGTACAAGGTGCAGTGACAAGAAACAAAACAAAACAAAACTAAACTAAACCGTTTCTGGCATGCCATGGACCAGAGATTTGGGACCCCTGTTCAAAGGGATCCCGAATAAAAGGGATTTAATCAAACAGATCTACTGGGAAGGCTCCATGGGACATCTTTGGAATCAACAGGCTGCCTTGGGGCACCCCACTCCACCCCAAAACCCACATTCCCCAACTCTCTCTCTCGTATCTAGCTTTGTGCACCAGGGCCTGCCGATGCTTTTCGATAAAACCGGGGGGGCAAAGGAGTCCCTCTCCTTTCAGGTTGGGGCTAAAAGAGAGTCAAAGCCATCGGCTCAGAGGTGTTTTTGCCAAGTAGGGCCAGACCAGGGGTACGGAGCCATGCCAGAGCACCTGCAGGCTCTCCTGTTTGTGCCCGGGATCCACGGTGGACGCATCCTGCCAAGCGAGGAACCCAGCCAAGCCAGGCGAGGTGGGGAAGAGGCGAACGTCTGTTGGAGGCGGAACGGAGGGAGCCAAATTCATTTGAGCCCTGAAGATAAGATGAAAAGGTGAGTTCCAATTGGCTGAAGTTGGACTGGGGGTGGGGGTGGGGGGGCGTGACAACCACGAGGGGAATCTTTCCGTATCTTTTGAGCGCAGGAAACCCAGATCTAGCCCGACTTTACTGCATTTCTTAGTAAAAATAACCCTTTCACTTCAACCAAATGGGAGTCGAGGGTCTTCCTTTCCTAAGGGATCAGATTGGGACGGGACTGACACTGGTAGTTGAGAGGTGGGGCCCTGATTGCAGGTCTTGAATTAAGAGGCTGTTCATCTGTCGGGTGGGGATTCTGGTTTTTTAAGGAATAGGGTCGATCTGGACTGTGAACATCAATGAAAAAAAAGGAATCGCAGCCAGCAAATTTTGAATTTTCTTTTGGAAAGGAAAGGAGTATTTTTCCCGGGGGGGTTACCAATGAGTTTAGGAAAAGGCGAAGCCTAAAACGCTCTCAACTCTTTTAGCGAATATAATTGGTGAGCGCAGTTCTACATCGTTTTTAGAAAGGGGGGGGTTAAACATTTAAGGGTGCGTTTTTGATTATTTTGAACCTGCTTTGGTGGTAGGGCAAGATTGTAATCGGGAGCCAAAAATTAAAAACAAATTCTTTTAAATAAAGCAGCTAGCTTTGAGGGTTGCTAGGTTTTTAAGTTTCTCAAAAAAAATAAAAATTTATTGCTATTGCAGTAAGGGGCAATTTGCGTTTGGAGCAGAACGGAGACGGTCCAGTCGGGTAAATTAGCCAAATGAAAATTACTTGATGGGCTATAAAACAGCATTAAAAGAAATAAAACAAGGGGTGATTTTTAATCATGTGGAAGAATCACAACACCCACTTAAAAACCTGATCTAGGCCATCTAATGCTTTGGACGGGCATGTGCAGAAACCTGGGCCAGCAACACACAACATGCCTGAATTTATTTGTGTGTGTGTGTGTATGTGTGTGTGTGTGTTTCTCATCCCACCCAGGAGAGTGCCAAAAG